TTACAGTTTTAAACTCAGTAGCGGCCAGAAGTTCATCCGCTTGTATTTCAACCCAGTTTCCTATGGCCCTGACTTTGACCAGTCCAAAGCCCTCTTCTCAGTCAAAGCAGGGAACTTTACCCTTCTCCACGACTTCAATGCTTCAGTCACTGCCGAAGCGTTTAATTTTACCAAAATAATATACAGAGAGTTCTGTTTGAACATTGATGAGGAAGAGAGCTTGAACATCACATTTACTCCGAGCAGAACAATCCCAGATGCGTACGGCTTTATCAACGGAATTGAAATTGTGTCCATGCCCACCAATCTTTACTACAGTCCGCTTGAAATCGAAAGCGCCCGTGGGATTACAATGGTTGGCAGCAGAACCAACTTTCGCATCGAAAACAGCACTGCTCTGCAGATGGTGTACCGAATAAACATCGGCGGCAAGTCGCTATTGTTCAAAGATGACAAGGGCATGTACCGCAATTGGGGTGGTTCTGCAGATGAGCTATATTACTTGGACGGTTTAAGTTTGACGAGAAGCGTTGAACCACGAAACGATAGTACTCAACTCAACTTTTCTGAAATACCAGCGTACACAGCACCAGAGGAAGTGTACCGAACGGGCCGGTCGATGGGCACAAACGATACCCTAAACAAGAGCTACAATCTCACCTGGGGTTTTCCCGTAGATTCCAAGTTTTATTATCTGGTTAGGCTGCATTTTTGTGAGTTTCAACATGCAATTAACCAGACTTACGACAGGACGTTTGCAATCTACATGGACAATCAAACTGCTGAAACACAAGCTGACATAATTCAATGGAGTGGTGGAAAAGACAGACCAGTGTACAAAGACTACGTGGTATTTATTCCTGAAGGCCACCAGCATCTTTTTCTCGCACTGGGTGCAAATCCAAGTGATCAGATGACAAGATACAGCGATGCACTCTTGAACGGGCTGGAAATCTTTAAACTTGACTCACAAGGAAATCTCGCCGGACCAAACCCAGTTCCACCTCCTATGATCCTACCAAAGGGGCCCTCAAAACCCAACAGCGACAACAAGAAGTCAAGGCCTCCTATGCTTGCCATTGTCGGTGGTGTTGTAATTTCCAGTAGACTTGCATGTTGGGGTAATTTCAAAGGTTAGGAGTTAAGGAAATAAAAAGTTAGAATCTAAAGTGTTTAGCTATTATGTCTAGTTTATGAGTTGAAATTAAAGTGAGGTTTAGTGGGTATAGTGGTTATGGTTATGTTTAATGTTGAGTTAATGTTATGGCCTATAAATAGGCGGTGTATCAGGTGTGTATTATGTGTGAGTACTAAGTGTGTGTGTCAAGTGTGTATCAAGAGTATCAATCTTATTGAAGTTTGTGTCAAATAAGTTTGTCTAGGAGCTCTGTGTAGCCTTCGGGCTTCACATCTCCAAAATTATGTTATTTATTTAGGTCATTATATTGTTTTTCCCCCTTCATATTTAGAGTGTATGAGCATAAAGCTAAATCCACCAATAAGTGGTATCAAAGCTGATACGGTCATGTGGACCTATATCAGAGATGTGGCGTTTGGAGCATGGTCCAATTTTTTTTTTATATAAATGTTTTTTAGAATGTAGCATGAAACGTTGGTTGTGGTTCTATATTTAAATTGTGTTGGCATGATGAAAATGGTTTTTGTTGTTATTAAAAAGTTTTACCATCGGTTTGAGATGTGTAGAAAAAAAATGTTTTTTGTGTGTTGGCTGTAAGTGAGAGGCATATTGATGCCAATGAAAAAGGCACATGGATGCCGAATAAAGAGAGACAGGCACATGGATGCCGAAGGAAGAGAGAAAGGCACGAGGATGCCGAGTGAAAAGAGAAAGGCACAAGGATGCCGAAGAAAGAGAGAGAGGCACATGGATGCCGAAGAAAGAGAGAGAGGCATGAGGATGCCAAGTGAAAAGAGAAAGGCACAAGGGTGCCGAAGGAAGAGAGAAAGGCACGAGGATGCCAAGTGAAAAGAGAAAGGCACAAGGGTGCCGAAGGAAGAGAGAAAGGCATAAGGATGCCGAAGAAAGAGAGAAGGGCACAAGGATGCCAAAAGAAAAAAAAGGGAACAATGGTTCCTGTGAAAATTGGGGCAAATGTGCACCTAGAAGACAAAAGAAAGAAAATGGAGTGTTTTTTTTTAATTCATGAAGGAAATTGTTTGGTTATTAATTGCGTTCTCTCTTGCAGTCAGAAAAAGAAAAATATGAGTATATCAGTCGTTGTGCCATTCAAGCCCATTTTGATTGAAGCTGCACGCAACCTTAATGTTGAACCACATTTTAATTTTGTAACCAAGGGACTAGCTCATGCAATGAAATTCATGTGTCATATTAGTTTTGATGGAGGCGCACATTCGAATTTTTCAAGCAAATGGAAAAACACGAAGAAGGAGGCAGAACACTTGGCAGCATATTTTTGTCTGAATTATTGGATTGAACAGGGCATCATTAAAGTGCTCGATGTGAACTTTAATGCGTTGATAAATTTCAAGATTGAATGTGGAAAGCTACAGGAAGATATTGAGACGCTACGAGATCAAGTGATGGATCTACAGCTATAAATTGGTATGCTAATACAAGATGAAAATCCAGAAGAAAATGGTATTGGCCAGTCTCAAAGTATCATGAGCATACGCGACATGGAAGAAGAGTAAGGGGGAAAATATCTATGTTAATAAGCTTTGAAATTACGAGAGAGATTGTTAGGGTAATTTCAAAGGTTAAGAGTTAAGGAAATAAAAAGTTAGAATCTAAAGGGTTTAGCTATTATGTCTAGTTTATGAGTTGAAATTAAAGTTAGGTTTAGTGGGTATAGTGGTTTTGAAGATGTTCTAGGGATCAATGGTTTTCACAAAGGTGTTTAGGCTCGCCAAGGTGGAGATTGTTGGAGTTTGTTAATGTATGAATTTTGAGTATTTCTTTTGGCTTCCCTTGACAATTTTGTAATAGGATTTTTATTGTTTTTATCAAGCTCAAGTTTAGATTAAGAATAGTTTCTCTAGGTGTTCTTAACTAACATCTATCCTATGGAGGCTCATGCAATTTGACAAAGGTAAATTGTGCATTGCATCATTGCATTAAATTGATTTCATAAAATGATGACTAGTAATATGTTTCTCGTATGACTAGTCATCCTTGCTCTGTAGGATTTCCAGCTAGATAACCAATCTTTTTGTCCTATTCCCTCTTCTCTCTTTGCTGCCATGTGTCGATTCTAACCTAGGAATTTTGGTGTAAAAGGAAACCAATTATTCATTTGGCAGCCGTCACTTTTGTAGGCAAGTTTTGGAAAGTTTCTTTGTAAACTTTTGCTTCTTCCTCAAGAGCCATCTTCATATTTTTCATCTTTGAGTTTTCCAAATTGTTTCTTTTTGAAAACTGCATTTGAGAAATGAAAATCTGCATCTATCTAATTAAAACACTCTCTCATTTATATCTAGGTCAGATCCAAGATTGATTTCTTCAAGAGTATGGTTTCTTGAAGAAATTGGTCATTCTCCTTTGAATCCAAATTTTGGTTTCGGTTTGAGTTGGAGCTTGCAAGCTAGTGCCATGGGATGAACAAGCTGGAGAAGGAGCTGCCATTGTCATGAAGAACTGAGCTTCAAGCTTTGCTAAGTTGGAGAAAAAGATTGCACAAAGGAGGTATAACTCATCTTCCTAAATAGATCTAGGTTAGGTTTTGCTTGAGCTTGGTTGTATTCCTTTGTAAGAATCTTTTTCTACTTAGTAGATTGCCTGGTCGGTTGATGACCTCCAGTTTTTCCCAATGGTGGGTTTCTGGGTGAACAAAATCTGGTTTGCATATCTGTAATTTTTCTGGGTTTGTGTTCTTGGTGGTTGACTAGTCATCATTATTTTCTGTTTGGTATTTACTTGATTATAATGTTTTCACACACTTCCACCATAGTTGTTGCTAGCACAGGGGATGCCTAGATTGACGGATCCTTCTAAGTGCCTAGGTTGTCACTATTATTTTTCTAGGGTTGCAGGTACATTGTGGCATGCTCTGTGTATTCTAGATTGTGGTTGTTCATGACTAGCAGTTGACTAGTCATAAGTGTTTTGGTCAAGGTCTAAAGTGTGTGAAGCTTGTTGTGGTTGTGTTTGTGTCATTTAATTTATCCCTCGTCACCTAAGTGCCAATTACAGTTATGGTTATGTTTAATGTTGAGTTAATGTTATGGCATATAAATAGGCGGTGTATCAAGTGTGTATTATGTGTGAGTACTAAGTGTGTGTGTCAAGTGTGTATCAAGAGTATCAATCTCATTGAAGTTTGTGTCAAGTAAGTTTGTCTAGGAGCTCTGTGTAGCCTTCGGGCTTCACATCTCCAAAATTATGTTATTTATTTAGTTCATTATATTGTTTTTCCCCCTTCATATTTAGAGTGTATGAGCATAAAGCTAAATCCACCAATATTGCAGTGCTATGTGCACTCGGGTTCTTGGTTTTCAGGCAACGGCTGAAAGCCAAGGAGTGGGGTCCATTTTCTTTTCTGGCGACCCACAGAACACATGGACCGTCTTATTTGTGTCGTTACTTTACACTGGCTGAGATCAAAGCCGCCACTCGAAACTTCGATGACAGTTTTATTATTGGAGTTGGAGGGTTTGGTAACGTGTACAAAGGATGCATTGATGATGGGGCCACTCTCGTTGCAATCAAACGGCTAAAATCTGAGTCATCACAAGGCGCCGACGAGTTCAAGACGGAAATCGAGCTGCTCTCTCAGCTCCGCCACCGCCATTTGGTGTCTCTCATCGGATATTGTAAGGATGGCAATGAGATGGTCTTGGTGTACGATTACATGTCATATGGGACCCTCGCTAGCCATCTTTACCACACTGACAACCCCCTTCTTTCTTGGGATCAACGTCTCCAAATTTGTATCGATGCTGCAAAAGGGTTGCGCTACCTTCATAGTGAAGCCAAGGGCACCATCATCCACCGTGACGTGAAGAGCACAAACATTTTGTTGAATGAGAAATGGGTGGCCAAAATTTCAGACTTTGGATTGTCAAAAATGAGCACAATCAGCACGTCCAAGACCCACATTAGTACAAAGCTGAAAGGCAGCTTCGGGTATTTGGACCCCGAATACTACAAACGTCAACGGGTAACTGAGAAGTCAGACGTGTATTCATTTGGTGTAGTGTTGTGTGAGGTATTGTGTGCAAGGCCGGCTGTGATGCATAATGAGGAGCCAAGGCAAATGAATTTGGCTAAGTGGGCCAAGAGCTGTCATCGCGACGGGGAACTTGATCAAATTATTGATCCAAGCATTAGGGGTGAGATTGAAATCCAGTGTCTAAATAAGTTCGTTGAGATTGCTATGAGTTGCATGAATGACAATGGGATCGAACGACCGTCAATGAATGACATTGTGAAGGGACTTGAGCTTGCATTGAAGCTCCATCGCAACTGCGTTGAAAGGAGCAATGAGGTTGCCTTCAACAATGACAATGTTACAGAAATTAGAAGTGCTGAGCCAGGTTGCGCTACAAATGAATCTATTCAATGTATATCTGAGATGATCTTTTCTGAGATCAATGATCCAAATGGGAGATAATGGGCAACATTTTTGAATTCCCCAAAAAATGTTGTAGTATTTGAAACCAATAATATTGAATGCAAATTAAGAAATTACGTGCAGTGACTCGCGCTATTTGAAACACTTTTTAATCCATTCCTACTGTTTTTCTTTTCTTTCTATAAATCTTTTTTCTTGGCTGCATTCTAGAAGCCTTTTGTGCCCTTTCGCTGAAAGCATGGAAAATATCAAACGAGACAGCCATTTCGCAGTCAAGTAACTAACTCAAGTCTCTATCTTATCACGACGACTGCCTTATAAGAACCGCAAGGACAAGAAGATCCACCCTCCAACTCCAAGATCCCAAGCCCGGTTTTAGTTCAGAAAATAATAAGGTTCAAATCAAATGAAATAAGAAGGGTGTTTATACTTTTCAGTTCAAAGAAAATGTAACACCTTGGAAAATCAAGAAAAATTACAGGAAACAAAATTTTTTATTGGGAAAATAATTGGCATCCCTAAACTTCAATTGTCTTTAACACTTGCCAAATTACATGCAAAGGAAAGGTAATTACCCTATCGAAACCCAATTGTTGGAGATTTTTATTTGTTATATGTTTATTTTTCTTTCACATCTCTAGTTAATCTCTGTACAAATTCTGTATAGTCAGCCTACCACCCCCGTCAACTACTCTCTAGATGATGTTGGTCATGTGGATGTGGATGATTTGTGGTCTTCATGGATAGAGAGACCTAAGAGTGACTTGACACAAAAAGCTTTTCCATATTCGAGACCGGCGTAAGAATCCAAACACGCGTATTACCAACTCCCTTACAAATTCATAATAAGCCTAAGAATGGTAGTTAGAATTTAACCCTGGAAAAAAAAGGTAGTTAGAACAAGAACTCACAAATTTTGAAGAAAATCTTTCAATCATGATTAACTACAATATATACTAGCAATGGTGTCCACGCGATGCTGCGGGTTTTTAAACCATGTGAAATGTGTACAAAGTTGTGGAAATATGTAAGAAAGATGGTACTATTTATATAGACATGGAGGTCTAAATAGTGGCACCATGCTTTGTTTAGCAAGTTTAAATTACAAAAAAAAATAGGATAATAACATGTTTTATATGTTGTTTGTCATGTTAAAATACTGACCATATTTTAATAAATCAAGCAACAATCAAAACATCGAAATATCAAAAATTTTGAGCTATTCATTGTTCAAAAGAGTTTGGACAGGTCTTTATATATATGCTATTGGGTGGTGAAAGAGGATTTTTCTACCTTGATGTATGTTAGAAGGAGGTCTTTCTCTTGTTAGCTCTACTGTAGAGGTGGCTTATGTTCTTTCTCTTCGTCTGCATGAGTTTTGACTATGTTGGTACAAATTTGAAAAATGGCAGGTGTTAGTGTAGATAAATAGAAAATTTTGAGTGAAGACAAAACTATTATCACATAATTAAGTTCAAAAATCCAACAAGACAACACAACAATTTAGGTACATCAAGCATTCTATTAATGATGGACAAAAGTATAACCTCAGTCTATTTAATCAATTGATAACAAACTTACAACAATAGTGACAATTTATTAAATAGGTATAAGAGAATTAAGTCAAAACACCTGAGCTTTAATAGAATCAAATGAAGGGGTGCTGCTTCTGTCGCTAAAAATTTGGAAAATGGTATAAGAGAATTGAGCCAAAACACCTGAGCTTTAATCTATAGACACCTATGGTCAAAACTGATACATGTATTGCCATTTATAGGCTTAGTTAATCTAATGGAGAAGTAAGCTATAAAAGCATAAATAACCTATAAACACCTATAGGTTATATAAGCAGAATAAAGGCAAAAATAACAGGATATAAGTTATACTTTTGTTCATTACATCTAGAACATCTAATACATAGGTTATAGTTTTGTTCATTGCATCAAAACATCTTATACATGTGGATATTTATCAACAACACAAACTGTTATTAAAAAATTGTGATTTTTCCTTTTTATAAAATTCTTATCCAAAACTTTAGATATGAATAAAATAGATAAAATAAAGCTTAAACAGTAAAGTAAAATAAAGAGACAAATAAATAAATAAATAAATAAAAGTTAAGATTAAGAAAGTAAGCCTGGTATAGTGAAAGCACGTCAAAGATGCTGTCCTAAAGCCTTTGTAGCCTCCCTACGTGCAGGTAATGACGGTCTACAAGACTCCAAGATACGACCCCAATATGCAGGCTTAAGGTCCGCTATGAGCACGTTCACAGTCGGATAGAAATTTCCAAGCCACAGAACCGTTGCCCAAAAGTAATATGGAAAGTAGGGAATATATGAAAGTATGAGAATAGAGAAATTTGATTGTGGTGTGTTGAAATGTGAAGGAGGAGTGGCCTTTTATAGGCATCCAATACTCGTAACCTCCAGACACATTTAACCAGAAAGCTGGTGCAATGAATAGAAAATAAAAACTGAAAATTAAACAATTTGTAACTCCCATAATAAATAAAAGAAAACAGCCAAAAATTAAAACAGAAAATAAAACATTAAAATTTAAAATCCTTTCAAATAACAACACAAACCACAATTTGAATACACTATTAATCTAATGTTCAAAACTATAACCTCATTGTATGTAATCAATTAACAAACTCAAAAGAAGCTTGAAAAATTACTAAATATTATTTATTGCATAATCAAACCAAAAACACTCAAACTTTAATAAGCAACAGAACAGAAAAGTTGGATATAGAAATTCATGTTTGTGATGAGGAATTTCGTTGCGTTTGTATTAATTAAGGTGTTTATGATTGAATCCAAAAAATTTAGAAGAATGGAAAAGTATGAATATACTTTGAATCTTAGTTAAATAAATGAAATTAGATTAAAGAATTAATGCATACTCTATTTTGGGGCAGAAAGGGTGATTCCAATATTGCTTGGGGTTATCTTCCTTTTCAAATAGATGAGTTGGATATCATCAGGATCTGATACATTCTCCTCTGGAGCTTTTGCAGCAAGAATTGTGTCAATTCTCTTCTAAGTTGTAATATCACTTAGATACATGTAAAATAAACAAAATGAATCCGCCATTTAGAATGTTTTTTTTGTATAGGTTGTGGCTAAAGTTCATTTCCTAAGCATTAGATGCATATTTCCTTCATTGTGAAGATGTCAGCTAGCTGTTCACTTGTAAGGCAGTACACCGAATCGATAATGTCATCTTGTAGTGCATCTTTGATAAAATGATACTTTCTATCAATGTGTTTTGTCTTCTGATGAAACACTGGATTCTTGGTGATTGCAATTGCAGATGTGTTATCACACTGCAATGGAGTTGCTTCAATTTGAAGTTCTCCAAAATCTTCTAGCAAAAAATCTAAGCCAAATTGCTTGTGCAGTAGCCTCAGATGCACTTATGTACTCTACTTTTGTAGTAGATAGTGCCACACAATTCTGATTGACTGAAGCCCAAGAGAAAACACCACTTCCAAAGGAAAATGCATATCCATATGTGCTTTTACTATCATCAACTGATCCACCCCAGTCACTATCATATATCTGAGCACACGATTAGCAGTTCCATAATGTTTGTTGGTAGGACAGTGAATGAATCTAGCAAGAAGGATAGAGGCATACATAATGTCTGGTCTAGTGGATGTTAGATACAAGAGGCTGCCTACAATGCTTCTGTATTACTCCTCACTTGTTGCTCCACTTCCATCATCTTTAGTCAACTTCTCAGTTGCATCATTCAGAACAAACTCTTGTTCAGTAGAGAGCTTGTTCAGAACAAACTCTTGTTCAGTAGAGAGCTTGCATATTTCTTTTGATGGATGAAAATACTTGAGTTTGTCTTAATCATTCCCATACCAAGAAAATGATGCATGAGGCCCAAATCAGTCATCTCATATTTCATCATCATGTCTTCCTTGAATTCATCCAACATTTTCTTACTACTTCCTGTGTACATAATATCATCCATATAAATGGATACAATTAGAATGTCTTTGTCTCCCCTTGTCTTGGTATACAAAGTAGCTTCACTTAGACTCTTTTCAAAACCACACTGAGTGAAATAAGTGTCTATTTCTCCATACCAGGCTCTAGGTGCTTGTTTCAGCCCATAAAGAGCTTTTTGTAGCCTGTACACCTTGTATTCCTTGCCTTTGATAGCAAAACCTTCTGGTTGATCTATCTTGCCCGAGGCCTTTTGGGCAAGATAGCATTAACTTGAGCCCAATAACAAATTGGGAGCTTTTGACAAGTTTAACAAAATAAAATTAATTAACATTTTCATTTGCACGTCTCTATACATGTGTAGGTTATGATTGGAGTAGAAACTTTATAAATAACTCTTGTTATGGTCTTTTAAGACAATATTTAACTTAAATATAACAAGTATAATTGAAGGTGCTCTTAGTGACAGCTAACAAATAATGTAAACATGACACGTATACAAAAGTCTTCTATATTTTTATTACATTTACATGTATAAAATTATTATTTGCACAACCCAAAATTCAATACAAAAAATGTTACTATCACTCCGTTGTATGTGAATATACATGGTCGCTACCTCATAAAAATGGAGTTGATTTTCCCAATTCCATTTTATCCACTTACACTTCCTTTGTTGAAAATTGCATGTTCCCACTCCTCTTTTGTCCACTTATACTCTTTTATTGGAAATTGTATGTTATAGTAAAAATTATTATAGGCAAGATAGCATTAGCTTGAGGCCAAGAACAAAACCATGAAGGGGGAGGCCCAAAGCGGACAATATCTTGCTAGGGTTGTCGGGTCTTGACAGAATGGTATCAGACCTGGACCCTGACCGGAAGTGTGCCAGCAAGGAAGCTGGGCCCCAAGGATGGTGGATTGTAAGACCCGTGTCTTGGGGAAACAAGAACGGTGAGAAATTCCACATCGCTCAGGGAGGGAAAGGTGAAGTACCTTATATGTGTGTGCACTTCTCTTCCTAGTAAGAGGCCTTTTGGGCAAGATAACATTAGCTTGAGCCAACGAACAAAATCGTGAGGAGGGAGGC